CCTGACCCCAGAGAATGCCTAGAACTACCTATCCTGGGATTCAGCGGCCAAATGCCTTCGACCTACGAAACAACAACCACCGCCGCACGAAAGGATTCAAAAGATCACCATTCAGCTCTCCCAACTGGCAAGTCAGGGAGATCTGATACAACGCTTCTCCGCCCTCAAGCCCATGAACAGAGATCAGGTTTCTGAAGACTCCCAGGTGACGATCCCATGGCGCCTCGATCTCAGCGTCCGCAGCGTCGCATCGACGCAGCTTTACGAGATCCTTAACCTCCTGAGCGGCAATGGGATCTATCACTTCGATTGAGGCCAACCGGCCTGCAAAGATCCCCACTTGCTACAGCAATCGCCCACCGTGTGCGACGCTGATGCATCAGCTGCTTCGAGTCAAGCCACACAATTCATCCAATGCCTGCTACATCAATGCATCAATATAGCATTGTTGGGGCAACTCTGGGCCACTTTGGCCTATGAGGGGTTTGATCCAGAGCTATGGGGTCAGTGGAGGCTACCTCTACTTGAGCTGCTCAACACCTCAGATGGTGTGGATCTGTGCGCTTCAGCTCCTTTTCAGAAGTTGCTGCAACCTTGGCTCAGAGAACACGCACCAGATGAATAACAGGATGCAACGGAATTTTTGGGCTGGCTCAGAGGTCAACACCTTACTGATCATTCCTGGGGACAGGAATCCAATGGCTGGCAATTTCGACTCAATAGTATTGAAATTCGTGGTACTTTACTTGCACCCTTGCTCATGAAAGAGAGGCGACCTGCAAAAATTTTTTAATATGTGGCAAGATCTATATACGAATGCCTGCATACATGCCCATCCATGCATAGTGTTGCATTTCGAACGATTTGCTGCACTTGCCTTGAAGCGAGACACCCCCGTAGATTTCTCCCGTTCTGAGGTTCACATTCCCATCTTCAACAATAGCAATGGCCGGGATGTCAACTGGACACAACACCGAGTGGTGGTCATCCTGTGTCACTTCGGATAAGATCCAGACAGCGGTCACTACCAATGCCTGCTTCTAAGCTCGGGCAGCTCCTGGATGACAGACGATGGCAGATCGGCCGTCAGGTGCCCGGTCGTAGACCCAGTCCGCCGTTCTGCCTACTTGATTTGATTGGTCCCGCAGGAGGACTTGAATATTTGGTGGCGGAGGCCCATTGAAGAACAGACCGTCGACCTGTCCGACTTGCTGGCTACGGCCTTTTCCAGCTGGGCCGATTGCGCCTTTTCGAAATCTTTCGCTTTGCATCGTGACTGTGGCTAGATGCTCCTAGAAGCACCCGCAGCTTAGTTGTGCTGCCCAACACGGGCCTGAAGCTACTCAGGCTGGAAGTGAATGAAAATGAAAATGAATTTCAGATTTGATATTATTTAAAATATATGCAATTTCTTTAATCTTCCGGAAATATTTTTTCGATGCATGATTCTAAATATTAAGGTAAAATGAAATTAGACCTTAATCATCATCTATGTCATTGATTGTTGCCTTCAATTCCATCTATCCTTATATGAATTATATGGTTTATTGGCCATCTATCATCCGGGTCGGGGCATTTAAGCCTTGTGCCACCGTAGAATTTATATTTTGAAAAACAATGCAGATTATATTAATTGTAATCCAATGAATTACATCTGCATATTGATTGGGATTGATGAATTTAATCGCAATATCCATCGTTCGTGCAAAATTTTGATCTTAAACATATTTAAATCGCCCAAATCGATAAATTCGTTCGCCAACAGAAAATTTAGGAACTCAATTTTGTGGTTACGCATTGCCATTATGAATGGCAACCTGCATTCATCCATGGCAAATATTAAATCAGAAGATTTTTTAAATCTATATTTCATGCAATCTTTTGATAAATATTTTGGAATCCTAGGCCCTCATCATCGACCACGTGGTCTCTGCCTACCGAGATGGCATCCGTCGTCCTCGAAATATTCAGGTCCTGATTCCATTAATCATTTCTAATTTCGATAGGAATATCCATAGAATATATGTCGTCGGCAGGTGGTACATCCAGATCGATAAATGCGTAAAGATTTCTTTCGATAGACCATATAATTGTTTGGATTATCATTATGATATATTAGGCAATTTTTTGCATTGAATAATTATCACGATCAATCAAACCGCTCACGAATCCCATATCCATTCTCTCGATCTCCGCTCGAATGTGACAAGCCAGACGTGCAACTATGACCCCCACTGGCACTACACTTCCAGATTTGTTTAGGAGCTGGCACTGCTTGAATAGGCATATAATTTTGCAATGATAGATAAAATAAATCATCAAATATAACAATTATACGAAAATAACATAATTCCTGATTAAGAATATCAATCTTGCCTTGAAACGTCATACATTCGATTGGATTCAACAATTTAATTCCAAAATACCTTTTGATCCAATTATATAATGATAAGGAATACCTATACCTCATGATCTCGAATTCAATTAAATTGGTATTGGAGATCCTACCATTCAATGAAGATAACCTGGTCCGCAACCTCCACACATTGCCTGCTTCCCCTCCTGGCCATTGTAGGGAAAATTCTGGCACCTCACAGAATTCCCAATTTTTGCCAGATTCCTGAAAATCTGCAATATATTTCAATTTTTGCGTCCGATCTATCTTCAATAGCCGGTCAATAAAACGGTTTCTTCGTTTGCTCCAATTGCCAATGTATGCGTTCTTGCCTAAATATATCAGTGCAGATTATTTCCTATTTGCCTTGATATATTATCATATAATTTAATCGATTAATTTTTTGGTGGGCATTCAATTATTTTTCGATATGCAAAAGATATTCGATTCAATTAGCATAAATTTCTTCGTTGGAAATTTGGAAATCCTGTATTTATCGGATGATCATTTTCCGGATGATTCCCATAAATAATTTATTTGTTTTAAGGATTTGATTGATTCGATATAGGCCAATCGAGGCATCAAACAATTCAAAAGATATTCCGTTAATTTAAATTCTGCACATACAATTATAATGATACAAATCCTCAATTATGTTGTTGTTTTAGCAAATCATAAAATACATTAATATATTCAGATAATTTTCAATTATATCGACCAACAAAAGATCCTGCTCCGCAATATATCCTCACTAGATAATTTAGGGCATTCATCACCCGGACTTTGATGCACGCCCCAAATCAACCCAATCAAATTCATCTGTCGATCCGCAGAAGCCTGTGCCACCGCCTGCAGGTGCCACTGCTTCGACGCTACATCGACGTGATCGATGACATGCCAATTTTCTGAATGCATATGGTCTGCAAGAACATATGCATAATGCCCATTTTACGATCCCGCCAGACGATGCCATCATATCGGTCCAGATGACTCCACCTGGCTCCATTCGATGACAGGAAAAATAAACCTGCCATTGGACATGACCCGGATGCATTTGCACAAATCCTTAAAATTCCGGATGGGGAAATCATTTCCTAATCAATCACCAATTTATAATGAAATTCTGATTAAAAAATCCTAATCATTCATTAAAGAATCTATTATCAATTCGATCGCCCACATGACTTTGGATTCCAAATATCATAGAGATGTCTTCCCGGATCGCTTATCGTCTGTTCATTGCAAAGCCGCATTCAATATGCATTATCTTTTTGATCATTTCAAGCGAATTTCATGTCCAATTCGGTTGCATATTTGCCCTTAAAATATATATAAGATTTATTCATGGCATACGACCTCGTTAGAATTCAACACGATAAAATAAATCTCACTATATTCTATAGCGTCGTTTTGGCCTAACATTCGATTCCATTTATATATTTACATCCCTCAATTGGTTCATTCATTAGCCTAATTTATTACAAATATTCCCTAGATTTGCAATATCCTACGATATATCAATCGATATGTATCGTATTTCTAAACCTAATTTTCGACCGATCATAATCGATCTTCATACATAATTTAGCATCTTTTTAAATGTTTGCAAAACCAAATTAATAATTCTTTCTTTAATTCATTTTAAAAACACTATATTAATAAAATAAATCCAAATCCAAAAAAAATACAATATATTTATAATCGAACATATAATAAAATTAAATATATTTTAAATATATTAAGTTAAGATGTTTTCATAAAAAATAATATCAAATAATATATATTAGAAATAAATAAATTCATTATATTTTTATATTTAATCATTTAACCATCTCTATTCTTTTCAAAAAATAGAAAATATTTTTTATATATCTTTATTATATATATAATAAAAACTAAAAAAATATTATATATATATAAACTATTTATTTCTAAATATTATATTATTATATATATAAATTAAATAATATCGTACCTTTTAAATATTTCGAATTAATTTATCGTTTTTTTCAAATATAAATTCTTTATACGCTAAAATTATAAAATTAGCAAATTACCATAAATAATCTTTAATCGTAAATACATAACAAACGGAAAAAATCAAACATTACAACTAAGCAAAATTACCGCATCGCACACTTCTACCCTAAAAAAAATTTACTAAAAATAATCAAATGGATATTTGCCCACCAGAAGTATTTTTTTTGCTGCATTTCCTAATCATTTCATTATCGTTCCGGATATCTCTACAAATTACCATTTTCGTGCTTCGTATCCTAACAATACGGTTATTAATTAGAAAATGAAATTTAAAAGCTAGATTCTCATCTCTTCCTTCAGGGAAAATATTAGAAAAAGATAGTCAATCCTATCATTAATATTAATTATTTATTGTTAATACGACACGTTAAAATCCACGAAGTATACCGGTATAATCATCGTTACCGTTTTTTCTTTTATCGTTTTCTGGGGCAGGAATGCATTAATAGCGTTAAAGTGCGTGCAAATGTTCAATTGTTAAGTGTGCGGTTATTTCAATCTTTCATATGAAATATTTGCGCTAATGGTAACTATTTAACAAGTTCAAAATAATTTTTCATAATTTTTCCCATTTAAAGAAACCGGATTTGCTCTGCAGAAATTTCCACTGCTTCTCCCATTCGCATCTTTGGGATCTTGTCTTCCAATTCCTTGCGATTATCGTTTGGGATTTGCTGCAATTGTTGGGAGAATAATCGCAAAAACACACAAAATTTAGCTGTCAACTTGTCAACTCACCCCTGCGTCCGGGCCTTCTGCAAGCGCAGGGCTAAGGTCTCTGTGCAATCCGGGCGTAGCATTTGCAGTGCCAACAAAAGGAAGGGCGTTGAAAGAGCCGCGCGTGCCACCATTGGGGAGTACCACCTCAGTGCACTGGCCGTCCAACAAAGAAACATACGCCAGGTTTTGCTTAGGATGATGTTTTTATCTTTTCCCGGATCACGGATCCTTGAGCAAACCCAAGCGCCTCTACGAACACCACAGCCACCTGTGGATCTGGATGCAACATCCACCTGTGCTGTGCAGCTTGAAACCGAGCAGCTTGAAACCCACAGCAGCCACAGAAAGACCTGACTCGTGCGGCATGGTTCTCGGACGGTGGAGACCTGTTCCTAATGCCATTGCGACCACCGTTTTCAAAACCATTGTACAGGCCATTGAGCTAGTAGACCATGTTGGCTTCAGCTCAAGCTCCCACACTTAAAAGAGATCTGATGCCAAGACGCAAAAGAAACAAAAGCTCTGGAGGGTGTTCACCTGCATCCGCAGCGTTCAGTCTAAGCTTGTCGAGTCTTTGTTCATCAATTCCGAAGTCAGTTCAACAGTTCAATTGCTCTTCTTTCCCCAACCGGTATGGACACACCAGGGGTTCTTACGGTGAGGGAAAGGCAGCTGATGCTTAGATCGCTGAAGCACGCGGCCGTGAACGGCTACTTCGCTGCTATTTACAGTACATTCATGCTTCTCGAAATCGTCGAAATGCATTTCGACTGCAGGGTCGCAAAATCTGCGTTGGGCGCGGTGGGCGCTTCTAACGACTGCGCTCTCGTTGTGGCGCCGTGCGCTTTTCGGACATGGTGGTCACTTTTCGTGGCAGGTGCCAGGGAAACCTCGTGTTTTGGTGCTCCAAAGTCGACTTTTTGTGACAGGCGAAATGCAGTTTTACTTCGAAATGCAGTTTTCGTGGGAGGTGCAGCACTTTAACGGACATGGTGGTGATCGTCGAGGAGCTCAGATTTGGTGACAGGTGCAGTGAATTGTGACTTTTGGACATGTGGCTCGTTTGCAGATTTCGTGGCAGGCACAGCGCTGTGTGACCCTCGATGTGCAGATTTCGTGGCAGGCGCAGCACTTGGTGAACCTCGAAGTGCAGATTTCGTGGCAGGCACAGCGCTTGGTGAACCTCGATGTGCAGATTTCGCGGCAGGCGCATCACGTTGTGCTCTGAGATGCTCACCTCTCGCTCTCACACACACTCACGCTCACACTCACACACGCTCACACTCACACTCTCTCACTCACACCCACTCTTCACTCACACTCACATTCACACTCACTCACACTCACATTCACAATCACACTCACACTCACTCTCACTCAGACTCGCACTCACACTCACTCAC